CTCCTTGGCCAGGATGTGTGCAAGCTCCTGGGGCAGGGACAGGACTGGGGCAGCACTGAGGCTGGGGCAGTCCAGCAGGAAGGGGTTTCCCACCCTGGGAAAAGAACTCACCCTGTCCCTTCTCCTGCTGTGGGGATGCCTGTTCTGAGCAGCTTCTCCTTCTCTGTCCCCAGCTGACGTGACCCTGGACCCAGACACTGCCAACCCCTTCCTCATCCTGGCCGGTGACCAGCGAAGGGTGGGACGGGGGGACGAGTGGACGTCGCTGCCCAACACCCCCGAGCGGTTCGACACGGAGCCGTGTGTGCTGGGCAGGCAGGGCTTTGCTGAGGGGAGACACTGCTGGCAGGTGGAGGTGGCTGAGGCAGGGGACTGGTGGGCTGTGGGGGTGGCCCAGGAGTCTGTCAGGAGGAAGGGGGTCCTGAACTTTACCCCCCAGGAGGGGATCTGGGCCGTGGGGCAGTGGTTTGGACAATACCATGCATTTACTGACCCTGACTGGACCCCTCTGCACCTTGCCCACCTCCCCAGGGCCATCCAGGTCTGCCTGGACTTCAGGGACAAGCAGGTAGCATTTGCTGATGCTGAAAACGAAGCCCCAATCTTTGCTTTCTGCCTGGCCTCGTGTCCTGGGGAGAGGCTGCACCCCTGGCTCTGGGTGGGGACGGGCTCGTGGCTCCAGCTGTGCCCCTGACACATGGAGGGAGCACGGGGGGCAGGGGAGAGAGTGGCAAGGCAAACACCATCGCCGTGGGTCTGGGAACTGGTAGGGTTCTTCTGTGTCCTGCTGGCTTCTCCCCACATGGTTCCTCTGGCCACCAAGCAGAGGACTGGCAGGTCATGGAGGTGGATGCCACCACAGAGCCTCCTTCATCCCACCCAGCCCTCGGCTGGGACTGCAGGGAGAGCACCGAGGCTCGGAGCTTGGAGGAGCTTGGTGCCAGGAGGGCCAAGGGCAGGCAGGTGGCACTGAGTGCCAGGGCACTGCAGAGCTGCTCTGTCCAAGGCCATGGAAAACACAGCAGGTAGTAAAAGGTGCTGGAGCAGTGCCTCGGGCTTTTTTCTATTGATACGAAGTTAAAAAACCTCAGGCATAGCTGGGTGCTGATGATAACACTTATCTTCCCCACACATCCAAACCTCTCCTTGCCTCCCCTCCACTCGTCACTGGCACATGCACCAAGCACTTTTCTTGCAGCAGGGCCCTGGGAGCAGCTCTGGGGGCAGCCCAGGAAGGCAGGCACGAAGCTGAGCAGGGTCTGGAGTCCGCAGGAGAGGCAATTCCCACAGATCTGCCGTTCTCTGATCTCTCCCCATCAAGGTCTCCTTTTCCTCACATAGAACAGACTAGATGGGAATATTCCACTTGGAAGGGACCTATAATGATCACCTCATCCTGAACCCTGCAGGGCTGACCAAAAGTAAAGCTTGTTACTAAGGCCATTGTCCAATTGCCTCTTAAACACTGACAGGCCTGGGGCACTGACCAGCTCTCGAGGAAGACTGTTCCAGACCACCCTCTTGGTAAAGAAATGCTCCCTCATGTCTAGTTGGAACCTCCCCTGGAGCAGCTTTGAACCATTCCCAGGTGTCCTGTCCCTGGATTCCAGAGCTCAGCACCTCCCTCTCCATGTCCCCTTCTTAGGAAGCTGCAGAGCAACAAGTTTCCTTTTCTCCAAAGGAGACAAGTCCAGAGCCCTCAGCTGCTCCTCACAGGACAGCACTAGATCTGCTCTGGAGAACTGGTATTTTGCAGGAAAGGACATTCAGAGACATACCAGACATGGAAAGTTGGGGAGGTCTCATCCCACAGGATCCTGCTAAATCCTGCCCTTAGGAGAGGAGAAGGTGAATGTAAGTGAAGGGGAACCTTGTCCTTGGTCCAGCCTGGAATTCCTCTTCAGGCACGTTGCTGGTTGGACCCTCTTAGTGCCACCTCAGTTGTCATCTTTGTGGTGGCGCCTGGGCACAGGCAAGAGAATTTGCCTCTGTGATCTACTCCAGTAGCTGCAAAGAGTTGCAGTGCTGGGTCAGGCCCAGTTATCTTCCTCCAGAGCCCTGCTCTAACCCTCTTCCAATGTGGCAGGACCAAGACTGGGGAAACCCATGGATCTCTGCTCACAGCAGGGCACTTCCTACCCTCCATGGGCAGGTGACAAGGGGCACAGGCTGGGCACAGGTCACTGGGTGGTGAGCAATTGTACTGGACATGGCTTGCTCCTCTTGGGTTTTATTTTTTTGATTGTGATTACTATTGTCATTAGTATTATTATGTTTTACATTGTTTCAAATATTAAACTGTTCTTATGTCAACCCACAAGTTTTTTTTTTTCTTTTTTTCCCCCCATCCCACTTTTGGGGGTGTGTGTGACCGAGTCACTGTGTGATGTTTAGTTGTCAGCTGGGGTTTCACCACAACAGGATTTCATGGCAGAAGGTTTGGAGATGGAGATGGCAGAAGATTTGTAAGCTTTGGTTCTATCCCTTGTCCTGGGAAACACCCCAAAGGAGTTGTGCTGTACATTGAGGGACACCTACTTCAATCAAGAAGAAATTCCTTTCTGAAAGCCAGCTCAGGAAAGCTGGATTTTCCAACAGATTGGTGCCCTGGATCCTCTTCACTGGAATTTTGTGGTTTGAAGGGGGAGAAAAGGTTTAATGGGTTCCTGTTTGCTGTACCCCCTGAAAATTAAATATATACAAAAAAAATCAACTCTTTGGGAGCTGAGTTGCATAACTGCAGCTTTTTGATTAAAATTGTATAGTATTGGTGCAATACTACATGAAATCATTCTATTCTAGTATTAGAAATCTACTATTCTAGTATTGCACCGTGAAGACTCAGGGGAGTTTAAATTCATCTCTCTTATGCTACAGGTCTCTGCATTCCAGTGCCACAACAGGTAGGAAAGCTTAAGGAATGCCATGGTCCTTGAAAAGCAAGGCTGGACCCACACGGGCTGTAAGGGCACACTTGGATTTGGTACTTTAGCCAGGCAGCTGGACTGAATGCCCTCCCCGTTAAACTCTGTCTCCTTTTCACCCAGTGAGCCCTTTCTCTGGGATTTCTATTCCTTTTACAGTGTGGTTTCTTCCCCTCACCCTGGCAGACCTCTGGGTGGCAGCAGTTTTATTTTAAAGGACTGGGTGAGCCTTCTTCCAGAACGACAGCACTTTCTTCTTTTAAACCTTTTTTTTCTTTTAACATAAACAAGCCCAGAAGCCCCTTGATTTGCCAGCTTGGCCAGGAAACTCATCCAAGGTCTGGGCCAAGGCTGAAGCCTTGTCCAGGGCCTTGGAAATGCACCCAGCATTGTTTTTGCAGTGTTTTGAGGGGCACTTGTAATGTGCAGCTTCACAATTTCCACCCTGCTCTGCAAGAGTGGTGTGACCAGGCTTTGAAACACATGTCCAGGGCCAGGGGCTGAGGGCAGGGCTGGGGCTGCAGAGGATGTTGGGGCTCCTCCTCACCCCATGGAACAGGGAATGGTGGCTGCCCAGGTCTGTGCCCCGAGGTTCCATGTCCAGCCCTGGACAGGTATCCTGCCCCACACTGCCCTGCAGGCCCTGCCACGGTGCTGGCACTGGATGGCTCTCAGAGCCAGCTGGTAGTGTGAGCTGCCAGAGCCAGGACCCTGCCCTGCAGCTGCAGCAGCTCTTGCATGTCACAGCTGAGACACAGCTCAAACACAGCTTGGACACAGCTCAGACACAGCTTGGACACAGCTCAGACACAGCTT